TGATGCATTGCTGCCCTCTAATGGAATCATTTTACAATGAATAATTGGCAGTCCAGCCAGAACTTTAGTTTTTTGTTTGTTTGTATTTTTAATTTTGTATACAAATACAAAGTAGATCCATCTGTCAAATGTATATCTGAGAGAAATCACCTCTGTTTCCATCCCTCTGACAGCAGGACAAGAAGTAAGGGGTGCACTAATCCCCAGGATAAAAAGCCCCAAATAGTTAAAACAACCTTGGTGTACGGGTGGAAAGGAGTGCCGTATACAAAAAAATCAAGACTTGATAGTTGAGATAAAATTTTATTTCTTGCTTGTCTTACTTGCTACAAGTTTTTCTTGTTGGTCTAGTTTTTTTAATTGACTAACAAATAAAATTGGATCTCAACCATCAAGTCATAAAACTGTCCCCTGTGGGGGATGTCTCATCGCTTCACTTCTCAGCAGAAAGTGAAGGAAATTTTACACAAAAAGTATTCTGTCCCACAGTATAGAAATATTGGGTGGAGTGATCTGATCAGATCTGTTACGCCTTGATCCTATGTAACAGCAAGTTGTCCTGCATCCTTGGAGAGGATATGTCATGTGTTTTTAGTGGATGCATATTTTAAAGCTGAATTCCAAGTATGATTTTTATTGCAGTTAGATTGGTCCACCTTGGACCAGTGTAAGTGCATATCTCATACCTGAATGTTCAATGTGGAAGCTGAAAATTACTGTAGCAGTCATTGCTACTACAGTGATAGACGTGACTTGTGGGCCCCACACCCAGCTGTTTCCCTCTTGCATACTGACCACAGGGAGTCGTTCATTCAGCATTGACGCCATTCACAGAACACCGTCCTGTATTTTTCATTGAATACAAGGCATACTGTGAGTCAATAAAGTGGAGAGGCTAGTAATTTCAGTCCCCACCTCATCCAATCAGAGAACACCTTGTGTTCATAGAAAAAATACACTGCTTTCTGTGAATGGCAGCAGTGCTGAGCGAGCACCCCACCTATGTTCAGTATTCAGTAGGTTACTGAAGTTATTGTCAGGTTCCCCCGCAAATGGCAAGTATGAGATATGCATACTTACACTTCGGTCCAAGGTGGAACAATGTAATCATACTTAACCTCTTCGCACCAATGTCACACAAATATGTGGCCTCACAGTACTCGACTTTTTTCCGTGGGGTCACATATTGGCGTACCTGTCTTTCTGCTGGGAGCGTGCCGCACACCGCGCTCCCAGCACAAAGACCGAGGTGTCACCGAGAGTCCCGGGTCCCATTCTAACAATCGGGACCCAGGACTCCCATCACATGATCACTGTGATAGCCTCTGAATGGCTATCACAGTGATCAGTCTCTGTACAGCCCGGCCCCCTTGTTTTGTTTTTTTTCTTTCTGTAAATGGAGGAGAGAGATACATTGTATCTCTCTAACTCCTGGCATAGAGGGGAAAAAAATAAAAAGCTTGTTTAAAAAAATAAATAAATAAATATTAAAAAATAAAGAAAAAATACCTAGATCAAGGTTTGATCTAGTTCAATGCCAGGGTAAGTGTCAGTTAAAAATTGGTGTCAGTTAGTGTCAGTGTGTTTTAGGTAAAATATTTTTATAAAAAAATGCGCACTATTGTTTGCTGGTTGTACTACAGGTACAAACAATAAATAACATACACATATATGGTATCGCTACAATCGTCAAGAGCTGGAAAATTTATTTTAGGTTGTTCTTTGGTGGTGGGTTATGGTAGTGACAAGAAACACAAGACTAAATTTAAAAAAAAATTTTTTTTTTTTTAATATTTTGGGCTAGTTTTCCTTTGATAATAAAGAAAAATCAGGAGATATCCATTACCATTTACCACCAAATGAAAGCCCAATTTGTCCTGAAGAAAAGTATAGTTCACCTGGATGCACAAAGTAGTTGTGATGATATGTACGGTTTTACTAACATTGACATACATTGCAAAATTGTGCTTAGGCATTAAGATTTGTTTTACACAGGGGCGGACTGATCATTTGGAAACTCGGGCACTGCCCGAGGGCCCGGGTCAGTAGGGGGCCCCATGAGATGCCCCTGGTACCTTTTTTATAGGCTTAAGTTTGGGCAAGGACACAGGGGCCCCATGATCCCCTATTGCCCGGGGGCCCCATGAGTTGTGAGTCCGCCCCTGGTTTTACCCTTAGGCGTGAAGGGGTTAAAGTTCGGCTTTAAATTATTAAAAGTGGAGTGATCTTCTGGTTCCTCCCTGGTGGTTGATGTAAGCCACTGTCATGATGCTGTTCCACGGAATCTTCTTTGGGTGACTCTGCAGTCCAGAGGTCCAGCGTTGAAGGATTAGCTGAATCATTGTTGGTGTCAAAATGCCTGGTCTTGTCTCACACAGCCAGAAAGTGAGTTGCAATGCTCTGGCGTAATATGGGGCTTATGGAACTGCCTTGACTGAGTACACTATTAAGCCCAGAACTCATGCAAAAATGGAGGGTCTGTTGGCTCCTAGACTGTAGTGTGCAAACATGGGAGCTTGGAATTTTTGTCTGTGGAAGGAAGATATGGAGAGGGAAGTATGCAGATAAAGGCCCGGGAGCTGACTTTTGTAAGTCCAGGATCCACCCTAGGGTTCGAACAGTCTGGTGGACATTGGCTGACAGAATGTTTGCATCCTAAGGAAGGTGTTAACAATCTTTAGGTCTAGAATGGGGTGTGTGTCCCCTGTTGCTCCTGGAACCATAAGCAGGTTTAGGAGGAACCCTTAGATCTTTATTTTTCTGGAACTATGACCACTTGAGAGAGGAGTTACTCCAGAGCAGCATAGAGGTCCACTAGTGTTTTTTTTTAGAGGTGATTAATGTTAGCAGATTTAAGGCAGGATGGAGGTAGAGACCAAAATTCTACCTTGTAGCCACTGGATATCTCATGTACCATGTGACTGAATACAGAAAGGGTACAGTCCTCTTCATCCTCCACTGTAGAAGTAATGCAGCTTCAGGGAAATCAGACATGAATGGAGAAAATTCAACCCTAAAGAAAAAGGAGGAAGAAGTCATCCAAGAAGGGATTAAAGAGGATTCTAAGGAGTGTTTCGTCAGGGAACAGTGATCCAGGCTATTGACGTCTGGTCCTTGCACTTATGATCTGCCATACTGATGTATGCAAATAAATGATTACCACAAAGGTTACTCATAAGTACCTTCTATCTATGAACTTATCACTGAAGCCAGCAGGGAACCCAGTATACATCTGGAGGTTTGTAGTCTGTGGCAGAGGAGAAGATGGTGAGTGATGTCCATAAACTAGCTGAGAGATTAGAATGCTCAGAAAATGGCATGTGCATATGAAGTATCCCAAACTAAAGAGATGCAGAGATGCCATGCAGACTCAGTGGAGGGGCAAGGGCAGTGTGACGAAAAGTGTCATGGCCAGTGCTCCTGGGTTAGCCCTTAGAGGACTTGAGGAGCATTTAGAGTACACCCAGGCTACGCCGCAGTGCATCTGTGGTCCTGAGAAGCCCTGCAGTAAAACAAATGGAGAAACTAGGTGGGATCCAGACTTTTAATTAATATAAACGCAATATTGACTTACATTGTGGTTCAAAGCGCACTAGCATGAAAGCATAGAGATGTCCATTCACAATGTTATCTTGCCGTATAACAGCACAAGATCATGAAGTAGGCAGGGAAGGCAGCATTGTGGAGCCCAGTGGGAATCAGGTGCCTGACACCGGCCAGCTGCCATAGAAAATGTTGGCACTAGTGAAGTCAATACACCAATACACAGTCACAAAGGAGCACATGTGCAGGCTAGGGGTAATCAGGCAACACGTTTCCAGGCAATCCACCCTGTTCTCAAGCCTAGTTTAACAATAGCAACAGGAGGTATTTAAGGACTGGATTGTGAGACTACATGGCTCAGCATGAAAATACTACCAACGTTAGAAATACATTCCAAAATGTAAAAAAAAAAAAAAAGGGAAAACTGTTCAAGATAAAAAATACTTTTACACCTGAATAAATTGTACTATTAAGACATATTAGGAACTGTTGATTGATTTAAAAAATATGTATAAATAAAATACCCTTTCAACAGTTACAAATTAAACAAGTGAGAAGTTGACCTCAGTGATGAAAATTTAATAATAAATATCGGGGTAGCTGCTGCCCAGTGTGTGATTATCATATAGCATGTACCAAAAAATGTGATTGAAAAAGCTGCGCTTACCACACTAATATGCGAAAAATACATATAATGCGAATACATAAATTTACTTAATCCAAAAGTGCCTATGAAATGCAGAATGATCTGCCAAGGGGAAAGCAACCTACTTTGAGAGCAATCTTTTAACTTTATTTGTGGATTTTTAATAAACTTTTATTACACTATGTGGATTGTTTTGTGGCTACCTCTCCTTTTATGGGACTGGGAATTTGGGAGAATCAGCCATGTGGATGATGGCATTATACACAGTGGGTCTATGATCCAGCACAAATTTACCTTCCTCAGTGTAGGCTTAAGGGGTCAATAACTTCTGGTGGGTTTGGTCCCTGGTGAGACGCGGGTGGTCACATGGATTAGAGGAGGAGTCTGGAGTGAAATTGCGCAGAGCACTAATCACTTGAATTTAAGACGAGTTACAACACATTTTCTGCACATTAGTTTTGCACTAGTGCACTTTGTATTGGACTGAAATAGCATTTTAAGAACATTTTGCATTTGATAGGCACTTTTGGATTAATTCAATTCATGTATTAGCGATCTTAAAAAAATACATTGGAAGGGAAATAAAACATATTATTAAATGCTCAGTTCTCCTAGGTACACACCATAGAGGGAAGAAAGATTATTTCAATGGCATGAAAAAAAAAAATAGGAACATACTGAATGTACAGTATCTAGCCAATATCCATATTCACTATATTGGCAAAAGTATTGGGCCAGCCCTCCAAATCATTGGATTCAGGTGTTCCAACCTCCTCCATGGCCACAGGTGTATAAAATCAAGCACCTAGGCATGCAGACTGCTTCTACAAACATTTGTGAAAGAATGGGTCACTGTCAGCTCAGTGAATTCAAGCATTGTACCATGAAAGGCTGCCACCTGTGCAATAAGTCCATCCATCACATTTCCTTGCTACTAAATATTCCACGGTCAACTGTTAGTGGTATTATAACAAAGTGGAAGCAACTGGGAACAAAAGCAACTCAGCCACCAAGTGGTAGGCCATGTAAAATGACAGAGCGGGGTCAGTGCGTGCTGAAAGCGCACAGTCGCCAAGTCGCCAATTGTCTGCAGAGTCAATAGCTAAAGACCTCCAAACTTCATGTGGCCTTCGTTTAACACAACAACAGTACATAGAGAGCTTCATAGAATGGGTTTCCATGGCTGAGCAGCTGCATCCAAGCCTTACATCACCAAGTGCAATGCAAAGCGTCAGATGCAGTGGTGTAAAGCATGCTGCCACTGGACTCTAGAGTGGTGGAGACCTGTTCTCGGGAGTGACGAATCATGCTTCTCTGTCTTGCAATCTGATGGACATGTCTGGGTTTGGTGGTGTGTCAGGAGATCGGTACTTGCCCGACTGCATTGTGCCAAGTGTAAAGTTTGGTGGAGGGGGGATTATGGTGTGGGGTTGTTTTTCAGGAGTTGGGCTTGGCCCCTAGTTCCAGTGAAGGGAACTCTTAAGGTGTCAGCATACCAAGACATTTTGGACAATTTCATGCTCCCAACTTTGTGGGAACAGTTTGGGGATGGCCCCTTCCTGTTCCAACATAACTGCGCACCAGTGCACAAAAAAGGTCCATAAAGCCATGGATGAGCTAGTTTGCGGTGGAGGAACTTGACTGGCCTGCACAGAGTCCTGACCTCAACCTGATAGAACACCTTTGGAATGAATTAGAGCAGAGACTGCGAGCCAGGCCTTCTCAACCAACATCAGTGTCTGACCTCACAAATGCGCTTCTGGAAGAATGGTCAAACATTCCCATAGACACTCCTAAACCTTGTGGACGCCTTCCCAGAAGAGTTGAAGCTGTTATAGGTGTAAAGGGCGGGCCAACTCAATATTGAACCCTGCAGACTAAGACTGGGGGCCATTAAAGTTCATGTGTGTGTAAAGGCAGGCGACCAATACTTTTGGCAATATAATGTATATTAGTTATTTTATGTGTCTTTAAATATATGTCTATGTGCTAAGACTGGGAGAGTTTACAAGGACTGACCAACAGAGGGAGTGAAAATGAAATGTTCCATAAACAGGAGATATAAACAAGATCAAACTGTGCAAGTCTCCAATCACCTTATTCCACAAAGCCGCAAATATTAAACAGGATATCCTCTCTTTTTAAAAAGCCTAATTAAATAAATATTGCGCTATGTGAAACAATAAACTTCATACAACATGCATATGCACTATGAAGACCCTCATACCTATGAAAAGCGATCAAAAACAAATAAATAAAATAGTATTGTGTAAATTTCACTAATCATATGCATACATATGAAAACACTCACAACTGTGAAATGTGATCAAATAAAACAAAAGTGACATATTGTCCATGTAAACATATAATAAAGTCCATATGAAGATGAAACTCCATTGTCAGTGATAACGCTCTATATGAATGCTGTATGTGCAATATGAGTAGTCTTCCTGCAGATATTCACCAATGTGTACACCACCACCGAGTGATTAAATGGAGGCTTACCAGAAATAGAGACCCCTTAATTATAGGGGGCCCCAACCAGCATTGCATGGTAAGATATTAGCAAGTTCTCTATGCCATGCCCAGAACAGGGATCTTCCAAACCACCGAACCCAAATGTGAACTCCAAAATGGTGGCAAATAATATCATGAAAGAAAAAATATGCCTCTCCTAGTGCAATAAGTATCAAAATCCTTTATTTGCGCAAGTAAAATCCTACTTACAGGCTGTAGAACAATTAAAAGCATTCAAAAAGACCGCTTCCAAGGTGGCCGACAGCGCAATGACATCAGAAGGAGGCTCCGCCCGACGCATTTCATCATCAAAAGACGTCTTCTAGGGGCTATGGAGCCACCCTCTGCCACTGCGCTTAAATAGAAGGTAACCAAGCCTCAATCTGGAGCACAACCAGCCTAAACTGATCACCGGAAGTGGGTAACACAGGAAGTGAATCCAAACCTTGATTTAACAATTCCATCTTCTAGTGTGTGATACCAGAAGAAACCAGTTTGTAAACCAAACCTCAATATAAAAACGAGAAGAGACATGTAAAATTGCCAGATCCACAAATCAGAGACAAAAAACCCACATGTAATCAATAACTGTGGATACTGTAAAGATTAGGTATATAGTTTTACTTATCCAGATCAAGTTAAAGAAGGTTAATGCTCCAAATTTACAAAACATAAATTATAGGGAGGATGCACATACACACCGCCATCTACTGTGCAAAACTGGAAGTTCACATGATATTCAGTAAAATATACAATGTTCCCTGGCTAGTCCAATAAATAGACCGGGGAACATAATCCAGCAAAGAAGGAAAGTCATTAATAAATTAAAATCTACCAAATAAATCAATAATATAAAAAATAAAACTATATACTTAATTTTTACAGTATCCACAGTTATTGATTGCATGTGGGTTTTTTGTCTCCGGGTTGTAGATCTGGCCATTTTACATGTCTCTTCTTGTTTTTATTTTGAGCTTTGGTTTAAAAACTGGTTTCTTCCGGTATCACACACTAGAGGATGGAATTGTCAAATTGAGGCTTGGATTCACTTCCTGTGTTACCCACTTCTGGTGATCAGTTTAGGTTGGTTATCTTCTATTTAAGTGCAGTGGTAGAGGGTGGCTTTGTAGCTGGTCTGCACTCTTAAGGGATCCTGGCCAATACCCAAGCAGGGGTCAGGACAGCCTATAAGAGTGACCGATCCTGCTCAGTAGCAGGAGAGTTCAGGTGGAAGATGGAGTGAGCAGAATGGTGTGTGGAGCCTGGCAGAGGGTCCAGGAGAGGGGCCTACCTACAGGCAGAGGAGCTGGAAGGGAGGATCTCTCAGCCTCATCATCCCCTAAGAGGGGACAGCCTGTGGAGCAGAAAAGGAGCCAGCCCAGCATAAGGCCTGAAGGTAGCCACCAACCCACAAGCTTGCACTGAGTGAGTGTAATCCCACACCCCCTGTGCTAATAAAGGGGAAATGGCATTCGGGTGGGAAACCTGACCAGCCCCTATCTGGTACTGCTTTCATCTAAAAAGTGGCAGCTTCTGGGACCTCTTGGCCAGGGATTCCCTCAGGCAGCTGGGTGATAAGATTTTATCTGGGGTCTGAGGTGGTACACAAAGAGAGGCTGGATCGCTCTCCAAGAAGAGAAAACCCTTCTGAAGCACTGGTATATAGTTCCAGAAAGTTGTCCTCAGTTCAACAATTCATTGGGCATCCCTCAACCCCATCCAAGTTTATTACCTCTAATAAAATCCAAAAAAAAAAAAAAGTTCAAAGGACTGTTTACTGTCTCTGGAGTGCAAGGCTGGAGGGAAATGTGTGTTGCCTTGCTGTGCAGGACTATAGGAGGACCCAAATCTTCAGTGACTCCTAAGGGGGTAGTGCTATAGCATAGTAAGCACAAGGGTGATTTCTGTGTAGGGGCAGACTGACCATTTGGAAACTCGGGCACTGCCCGAGGGCCCGGGGTCAGTAGGGGGCCCCATGAGATGCCCCTGGTACCTTTTTCATAGGCTTTTTTGAGTTTGGGCAAGGACACAGGGGCCCCGTGATCCCCTATTGCCCGGGGGCCCCATGAGTTGTCAGTCCGCCCCTGTTTCTGTGGCACCACATAAGTGTTTTGAATAAAATAATTGCTGGTTAAAGTAGCACAGTGCCGAATAGCAAAAAAAAGCAGTCATAAAACAATAAATAAACACATACACCTAAATTATTCCACTGCCTTTAAACAGTGTTTTATGTGTTAACCAATAAATTAATTAAAGAATAACTAGGTTCTGCTTGAAGGATTTCACCTTGTCGCCCCAGCACTACACTGATTGACCGGCCACACCAACAAACTCCAGAACATTTTTGTACATAAAAATGGGGGTGGAGGCAGGACATTTCTTGTTGCTTCCTTTAGAAAGAACACAGAAGACGGGTGGTATAAATATAGAGGACAGAAGAGTGCAGATAAACAGCCTGCCAGTACTGCGCCAATGTTGTGTCACTATCAAAGGCTCCTCCAGAACTGCTGGACTATAAAGATAAGACTTGAATGACTAATAGGCTCCATGCACACGGGGCGTATTAATAACGCTGGTAGAGTTAGCTGTGTAAAATCACCGTTTTTTAGCGTTTTTACATTAGCGTTTAGCCGCTTTTTACCAAACTTTTTTTTTGTGCAAGAAACGTCCACATTTCGCCGCATTTTGCTGCTTTAGAGCGTTTTTACAGCTAAAAAAACTCTCTAGAAACCCACTAGTTCTGTTTTTTGTTCACAGCAAATAAACGCCCCTGCCAAAAAACACTGATTACATCCTTTGTGTTCATGGACACATAGGATAACATGCTGGGGAGTTTAGTGGCTGTAGAAAAAAATGCTAAAAGCCAAAAACAGCTGCTGTAAAAATGTCCAGTGTGCATGAGGACATAAGGTCAGTGACAAAGTACTGCACCATCCAGTGGGGGTTTATGTCATTCAGCGCAGCCTCCTCCAAACTGTTCTGAACTCCTATAAGGACTGTAGATGAAGGGCTCATTCACACCATGTCCATTGAGCTGCACTGATCTGCATACATAAAACGCAGGATCAATGCAGGGGCACATAGAAAACACAATACATGTTCGGTTGTGTCTGCTGTGTAAAAATGCAGCATTATGGGTTTTTTTTTTTAAGCAGTGCACTAATCACAAATAGAGAAAAACAAAACAGAGGGAGCACCGGCCTTGTGCATTACCTTTAAAAATATGATTATTAAATTTAAAAGAAGTTATTCTACTCACAAAAGTACATGAAAATAAGCACATCATACAAGACCTCTGAGGAAGAGGCTAGTCCTCGAAATGCGCCAGTTTGGATGTCCATCATTCTCATCACCATTCAGAAACGCAGTGCGAATTGGACAGAGCGGTCTCATATGATGTGCTTATATTCATGTAATTTTGTGTGAGGGACTGCCCAGCAGTACCTCTAGCACTCCACTGGTCAGGTGCTTCCAGAGTGCGGAATCTAAGTCCCGGAGCACTTGTTCACCAGGGCCCCTGATGGTGGGGATGGACTTGGAGCGCACTGAGACCAGGTCGCGACTACTGGGCACACTTACCAATGGTAGAGGCGTCTGCCGAGGGCTCCCGCAGAGTAAGAGCCTGATATTAGGAGGTCTGGCGATCCCGACGGGATGGATGGCTGAGCAGGTGCAGGGTCAAATGAGCCGAGTCGAGAGCCGTGGGGTCTGCGAGGTACAAAACAGCGCATAGAGAATAGTCGGGTCACACGCCA